TTCATATTTATATCCTTTAAATACTATTTATAGTGTTAAGATTTGGAAGATTTAATGAGGCAAAGAACAAAAGTGCCTGCATATCATTAATAGCATGTGTAATGACTCCTGATTGTTTTCTCATTGCTGACTATGAAAACTTCCCTCTATTAACATTTCAGAGCAGCAAGAGCTGGACTTGGTTTTATTCATAATATATTTCAGGCTTAAAATGAGAAAATGCATAGAGCCTCTTACCTGATAATTAAAATATATGTTGTACCTTTTAGCATCAAATATTGTGTGAGTTTCTAGTCTGCCTTCTTTTACTGATTTTTTAAGACTTTCCCAAATATGACTTTTCTAGGGGCTGACTTGACAGCAGCTAACAACTATAATAAGGTCTTTCTAAAGTACCAGGGTATAGGGGATACTTTCCTATCCTGCTCCAAGTCTTCAGTGCCAAAGAATAATAACTGGTTCCCTCAGCTGTTTCTGGGGGTTTATCATGATCTTGTCTCTATCTATATCCTTGGACTTGGATCCCAGCTCTTCCCTTTAGAAACCCCCTGCTCCAGACAAACTGGACTACTTTTGTACCTGAATACACATCATGCCATGAGCATTCGTCTTCGGAGTTGTGATTCATTCTGGTCTCCTGCTTGGAAAAACGCTGTCATCTCCTTCTTGTGCTTGTTAATCCTACCTTTCCTTCAAGTCTAAGATCAACTTATATTTCCCTTATGTCATCTTCTAAAGACATCAGTACTCAGTTTCATCTCTATAAATAAAAGAAAATAACTTTCTATGTCTAATGTTACAAAATAATGCAATGCATTTTCTCTAAGACATGAAACTTTAGCTTATCAACCATTGACATGCTTTCATCTAAGACAAATTTTTAACAGATATGATACAAGGGAAAGACATATTAAACATGTTCCAAAGTAGCCAAAGGAACTGATTTACACCAGGGCTTCCAACTAGCTCATTCCAGTTTGACCCCCTGCTGAGAATTTGCATTTCTAGCCCAGATATACTGAATTAGAATCTACATTTTCACAAGATCCCCAGGTGATTCTTACAGATCCGCAGGTGCGTCTTATGTATATATACATTACATGTTAACATGTAGATTCTGATTCAGTATATCTGGGATGGGAATATAAATTCTCAGCAAGGAGTCAAACCAGAATGAACTAGTTCAAAGCCCTAATTTACACAAATTGCATTCTATTAACACATTGTCATTGCTTTGCGCTGAAGTGGTAACAAAATATACAGCAAGATGATTTTCAAGCCAATTTTAAATTTCAATGAAAATATTTTGTATGCTAGTCCAATATGAATAAAGCCTAAGTCAAATTTTGATGACTAAAAAGTTAACTATTTTATCAGCTTAGAAGAGTAATGACATGCTGTTTCTTTCCCCTTCCTTCCTTCCTCCCTCCCTTTTCCCTCCCTCCTTCCTTTCCTTCCTTCCTGCCTTCCTTCTCCTTGTTAAATATTTGGGAATCTATCATATTTTGCAATTCACAGCTCATTTTAGTGATTATCAGATTCTGATGTTATCCTATTATTTAAAATAATACTTGAGTTATTTAGATTTTTTTCTGAATCACAGTCATGCATTGTCTCTACTGTCAACCTGTAACAGTTGATCATATACTAGAAAGAACCACAAAGTCATTACCTGCATAAGGAAATTGAGTCCATATTTTCTACAGTGTATTTAGAATGAGAGAATAGCAACTCTACTTTCAGGAGGGGATGCTATTTAAAAGAAAGAGGTTGAAAGAAAGGGCAAAATAGAGAGTTTTCTAGATTTTTTTTCTTTTTTCTGCTCTTTAGAGGGTAAGTTAATGATAGTATTACTTTAAGCACTATGATAACCCAGGATTTCAGAAATATCTTTTGACACATCATGCATCAGAAGATCCATTATAAATCCCAAATAAATGTCTTTTTGAAATTGTGCATAAGGCTATTTACACTCTTTTGTTGTTGTTGTTATGTGCTGTCGAGTCAGTTCCGACTCATAGCAACCCCATGTACAACAGAACGAAACACTGCCCAGTCCTGTGCAGTTCTCACA